CAGATGACTGGGGCCGAGGTGCCGAGGTGTGTATGTACCACAGACCATAACCGCAACTAGCACTATTAATCACTAGCTCTGAGCACATCCCTGAATTTAACCCTCGCAGCAAACCCTAAGAAAAGTGCTATTTACATCCTCAATTTGCACATGAGTAGAACTAGGCACAAAGTGTCCACGTAACCTGCCCAATGTCGCACAGTAAACTGCTAAGTCACCTTGGTACAGAACTCACTGCACAACAGAAATGCAGTATCTCCTTTAAAGGCTGGTGCTCATTCTCATTAATACTCTGACTCCAGTTAACTGCCTGGTGTCTGAGGAGGGGTGCCCTGGGCTGTGGCCTTGCCTCTTCCCCCTGAGAGGGAGTCACAAACAGGGCGGACTCAGAAACACCTTCAAGGGATGTTTATGTATGCACCACATCTCCAAAATAGTGTAACAAATACGTAGTACATAGAGTAATATGGAGTCCAGCCCATTATTTGTGTATCTCTGTCTGCAGGTTGCCTGCTCACTAAAATGTACATGTACTCCCAAAGCTCTACTTGCAGAGCCTTCTCAGCGGGTCACAGACGTGCACGGAGTAACATCCGAGTCACCCATACACGCATTCCCCACTGCGCTCACACACGGCGGGGTGCTGCCTTCTGGGTTTGACCTGTACTATGGACAATCTCTCCTTTTTCTCTATCTATTTAGTGCCATGGTTTTCAAATATTTGTGCTTTTTGTGCGTGTATGTGTGTGATTTTGTTGTTTAAAGTGGCTGCCATGCATAGTGCTGAAGAGCTGCCTAGTGCCCTCAGCATACGGCTGTGGTTTTTACAATTTTTCTCACCTTGAATATAGGATCTCAATATTTTTTAAAAAAACAATTATTTATTTATTTATCTATTTGTTGTGATTGTCAAGTCACCAGGTCCAGGATTGGAACTGTGGTCAGCCATGTAGGGATCCAGCCATTTTAACCACCATGCCACCTGCTGGCCCTGGTATATGGCTGTGATGAGTCTTACAGAGAAAACACACGCGCTAGTAAACTTCCTTCAGGTGTGCATTACAATTCAGTTGCTGTGAGTTTAAAGTCAAGAAAAACGCAGAACACATTCAACAACTGTCACCTCTAAGCTGTGTCTTCAGTGATGAAATGCATCCAGATACTCACAGGAACCTACCCCTGGGTTTCCCCAGGAGCAATGGGTCAGTATCTGCTCAGTGCCAGCACAGACTTTATAGAACATAGTTACCATGAGCAACCTCGACCTGCTACACATGTATGTTTACACACACACACACACACACACACACACACATTCACCATTTATAAGCACTATAATGACCATATAGTCAGCACTACATACGTGGGGTCTTCTAAAGTTTATGGGAAGTGTGTGTTGTAAAAACAAAAACAAAAAACCCTATAGATTTCAAACTTTTTTTCATTAAAATAAACTCAGAGTTGAATTTCATTTTTCCACTGGCTTTTTGTAGTGCCCTCATACAGTGGCAAATAATGAATAGGTGTCGATCCTTCTGAGGCAGAGCCCTCTGCCCTGAAGTGTGTGCGAGAGGCTTTTTCACAGAAGGCCACTAAGTGGCGCTGCTTGGTGATGGGACAAAACCACTGGCCGCCTCTGTCCCAGCTGGTGTCAGGGCACCCTCCCGTGGGGTTCATTGTGCAGCAGGTCACTCACAAAGGTTCTTTTTTATTCCTACCATACTCCTGCTAGGAATGTACTTATTACAAGGTATGAGAGAGAGAAATGGAGAAAAAGTGAAGAAAAAGAATTTATTTTTCTTTCTTTTTCTTTTTTTTATTATTTATTTAAAGAGTTTATTTTTCTGTTGGGAGTGGGTTTGATGGTCACCTGCTATTGCTTCAGAGTCAATGAGGGCCGTCCCAAGGCCCATCAAAGCAGGAGCAGGAAGAGGCAGCACAATCAACTATCCTGAGATGCTAGGTGGTTCATCTTCGTAGTGCTGGAGCAGGCAGGAGGTAGAATAATTGAAATAGAGTCAGTTCCATAGCGCAATGATTAAGTACTGTGCAGAGGAAGCCGAGTCTCACATGGTTGGCCAGGGTTCGAGGCTTGATTCTGGCAGCTTGAAAAACATGCAGGGCACTTGTGCCCAGGATCCTAACAGGATAGAGAACTGAAGGGAAAATTATCCTGGCATGACAGAGCCTCCCAAGGGGTATTCTCTTTCTTCCTATGCACATGTCTGCTGGTATTTAAAAAGAAGAAGAAGAGGAGGAGGAGGAGGAGGAAGACGGCTGGTCTATAACACAGTGGTGAACTGTGTAGATCCCATATGGTCAACTGGGGTTCAAGTCCTGACCCTGGTGGCTTACACAGAAAGAAAGAAAGAAAGAAAGAAAGAAAGAAAGAAAGGAAGGAAGGAAGGAAGGAAGGAAGGAAGAAAGGAAGGAAGGAAGAAAGAAAGAAGAAAAGGAAAAAGAAGAAAAGGAAAAAGAAAAAGAAACAATATTTGAAACACTTGGGAGTCTACAGACCCCCAAGCCCGTGACCATAGCAATTGAAATTGCTTAAGAATCCGTACTTCACTGGCATTTGATAGAAAGTGGTTGGATACGGAGGAGGATCTATTGCTGAGTGAAGTAAGCCAAGATATGAAAGAAAGATATTGTATGTATCCACTTAATATATACCAATTATCCACACCCTATGGTAGAGATCGAAATATTGGAGGGCATAAAAGCACTAAAAATAGTTAATGATGATAAGACAGTGCTGAATGTGACAGGAGAAGAGAAGAGGATAGAGAAAGCAAGAGAACAAATAGAGCTGCATGACATTAGTGGGACACAGATATGGCTTATTACCTGTTGATGACGTGTATAGTTTTCTCAACTGGATTGGTCTGAGAAGTATTTCGTGTTGGGTAAAGTCTTTTTACAAGCAAAATGAGAAATAGTGATTGAATGTTTAAAAAATAATTGGAATAATAATAATCAGGGGAAAAATGAAAAGCTATTGGATGATGAAGATGGGGATTTTAATGTCTCTATTGACTGATAGGCAAGGTATTCCTTCTAGAAAAAGAAATATAATACACTGTGAAGTTATATGTGATTCAGTGTAATATAAACAAGATTATGATAATAAATAAAAAAGAAAGAATCCATACTTCAGTGATCAGAAGGGCGGCAGAGGAACTGACTCAGGAAACAAGACAGTACGTCAGAGGAGGAAGTGGGGTGGAGCAGAGAGGTGAGAAGCAGTGCTTGAGCATGGATGCCGTAGGAAACAGAAGTGTCCACGTATTGAAAGACGTTCCTGCCCCCCAGAGATCTGTGCAAGTGGCCTACGCACAGCCCTGACTGAGGACGAGAAGACTGAGGGCCAGAGATGCCCCCCCCAGATGGCACGAAACCAGGACCTTGCACCCAGCCCGCTGTCAGCCCACTGCCTCAATTCTGAAGCAAAACCCCAAACTCTCAGTTCCAGGAGCTGGAATCACTGGAGAGCACGCCGAATACTTCAGGAAGATGTAGGCCTTTCAGCTTTGCCATGGGTCTGGCCGGGTCTGGTGACTCCGGAGCATGTGAATGAATTCTGAACTGTGCAGATCAGCAGGAGAGGACCCAGGTCTCTGAGAACACAGACCTGCAAACAGAGTTAGCCTCCACTGGGCCTTCACCCACGGTGTTCCCATGTCCCCATGCTTTCTGCCTACAGCACCATGGTTTCACTTAGTTTCTGGCTGTGTTGTAACCAAGACAACGATACAGCCGTTCCCAGGGGAATGTGGCCCCTCAGAGGCTGCATCCTGACAGGTACCATGGGGCCAAGCACATTCCTTGAAGAAATGCTTTTTAAATATTCCCATCCCCTGGGTCAGCCATTGGCATGGTGGTTGAGACAGCAGGGTCCCTCATGGCTGACTGCACAGTTTGAGTCCCAGACCTGGCAGCATGGAAAACACAGCAGATGCCTGTGCATGTGTGCCCTAAATCTCAAGAGAATGGAGGAGAAAGGATTGTGGCTTGGCCATCCTCTCTAGGGGGGAGAGGGGTTCTTTCTCACTTTCCCTCTCTGTGTCTCTCACTGGCAAACACATGTGGCCTATAGCAAGTAATAAATAAATAAATAAAGATAGATAGAGAGAGAGAGAGAGAGATAAATAAATAAAAATAAAACCAAACAAAAAAATCCCATCCCTCAGTACAGAGCTGTAGCACTGTTTCCTGCCTCACCTTGGAAGGCAGGGGCCTTGGATTTTCTGGAGTGATTGGGATGGACCATTGACACTTGGGTGACACATTTACTAAGCCAGTCACCTTGTGCCCTGAGCTAGCCAATGTCAGGACCCCTCCAAGTAGGCACCTATGCAACTTTTTGTGCAGTGACCATTCCACGCTGGTATTGCCTCAAGGAGATGCCAGCAACTTCCCCTTTCGAACACCCTCCAATTTCAGCATGTTACGTGAGCTGTTCCCTCGTATGAGGAGCAGACACAGAAGCAGGAGCTGAGAGAAGTGGTGGCTCAGCTGGCCCGAGCCCTCTCTCCTCGCGAGAGGAACAAGTGACGGTCTACCACCCTGTACTCCTTCCAGAAGCAGGTGGTCAGAGTTGTATTCGATACAGCAAAGGAATTTTATAATTCCAGTCTGAAATTGTGTGTTATGCCAAGAGGACTTTAGGGCTAAAGCCATTTGAGTTTTTCTAAAAAGCCTTGGGTGTGGGAGTTACAACCGGATTGTGGATTCTGAAATTCACTTGCATGCCATACTTTACTGCTGCTATTGCAGCCCGAATACATTTGATGAATTTTTTCTCAGAGTAAATAGGCGCACACACACACACACACACACACACACACACAGACTCACACATTCACACCTGTACATGCACCACACATGTGTATACACACGTTCTCTTACATGTGCACACTCACACATGACACACACACACACACTCATATGGACATATGTACAATCATCACATTTCTGGGTCCAATGAGACCAAAATGAACTTTGGCAGATGTTAAGGGTTTTCTTTATTTGAAGAAATTGTGTGTTAAATCACTAAAAAGGATTAAAAGAAATTTAAAACCCAGGAATTCATGAAATACGAAGCTGATAAGATGGTGAATCTTCTTATTCCTGAATGTCCACGAGCCAGTGGGGTCTCTGAAGCCAGCACCTCCTAGTAATGACAGTCTAGAAAATTAAATGCAGGATGGGTGGTGAGTGTGCCCTGGGGAGGAGGGACCTGGGTGTGAGGCAGGGCTAGGGTCACTGCACGGGGTGCACCGAGCCCTTCCTTCCTGGGGGCTGGAAGGATAGGGGACAAATCCCCCCAGGCTAAAGGCCTGCGTCAGTCCAGTCAAGGGCTCCTGAATCCCCTCTTCTCACCTACTCTCTTTGCAGGGTCCACTCTCCCTAAGTGATCAAGAATTTCCTACATGGACCTTTACTTGACATAGGGTCACTCAGAAAATTCTGAAAGCTAAGACCTGTGCTCCTTGGAGCACTTTGGTATCCTAAGGAAGGAAAAGAAACCCCTCTGGGGCCATGCGCTCTTTTCCTGTTTTACAGACACACTTGGTCGTTCTTGCTGAACTCAGAGTCAGGAGCACCCAGTAACGAAGGGGTGGGAGCTGGTAGACAGATTCACATCAGAGGACAGGGCCCCTGGAACTGTCCTGGAGGAGGACGTTACAGGCCATTTGTCACACGTAATCATGTGCGAGAGAATAGGGAGGCCTTGAGAAAAGTGGCCACGTCTGCTTTATTCCCAAACCCATCCCTGGTACCCAGCCCAGCACTTGGCACTAGGAGTGCCCCAGTAACGGTGATTAGATAGCAAAAAAAATATGAGGGGCTTCCAAAAGTTGGTGGAAAATGGAATTAAAGTACAAATTTATCTTATCTAAATTCTTTTTAATCTACGCTTAATGTTTTCATAATTTGCATTTTCTACAAACTTTTTGAAGATCCCTCATAGACAATGCTCCCCAAAACCTGCCCGAATTAGGGGAGCTGCCATCGTTACAACCATTACAACCAACCAGTGGGAAGGCAGGAGGGATCACTTATTGACGAGACCCTGTCTTTGTTGAGAGCATTCTGGGACACTGATTTCCTGGCATGGCTGCCCGCTGGATCCAGGGCCTGGCCCTGTGGTGGGTCCCCTTCCCACCTCAGCTCCCTCTTCGCAAGGAGAAACTGTCCATGTCCAGGATGGGGCTCGTCCAACAGTGACGTTACCTTGCACAGACTGCGGGAAGAAGCACCAGGGCACTTCTGGGATGACGTCAGAAAAACAGCAGTTGCGGGAGGCACAGTCCTCTGGGCTTATGCCCGGGTAGCCACAGTTCCTGCGTGCTGAGACCTCCATCACACACTCTTCAGACTCTGGCCGAGGGAAGGGAACGACACAGAGGCTTGGTTAGGCTGGGCACCGCTGGATGTCCAGCCTGCGTTTGTCATGAGGAGCTGCCCCTTGTCTTGGGATGGTTAGTGTCAGCCCCAGTGGCTGGCCCACCCTCCCTCCCCAGTGGTGTGATCCAGAGTGAATGGTCGGCAGGGTTCAGAAGACTGCAGCCCTGCTGCCTGAGGAAACCATCTCCTCTCTGCATGCCATGTTTCCCTCTGCAAAATGAGGTGGCTCGCTGTACCAGGGTGAGAAAAAGCTCGTGAGCACCTTTTAAGGATGTAGAGCATTTGGTCAAAGCACAACATGGACACCCACAGGCCCTTCCGCTCCATGGAGGGTCCTCAGAACAGTCTGACTCCATCAGCCTGGTTTCCTGCAAAACCTAGAGAGCCTCTAGGTGGTGATGAAGGGAAGAAAAGTCCTTGCTCTACCCATGAGCGTAGGGGAGAGGTGGCGAACACCCTGTCCTGTGCACACGGCAGCACATGCAGCTTTCATGCACACCCTGTGCCCCTCAGTGGTATGCAGTGACATAGGATTCACTCCCAAAGGATCCTAGAAGTCCTCGCATACTTCCTGCACCCTGTGGTCTGTAAACAGTCCTGTCACTAACATTCTCTTAAGTGCCTCATGTCCTTAATGCATTTCCTCTACTGGCTTCTTCAGATCAAGCTAGAAGAGACCTGAGATTTTTTCCCCTCAAATTAAGTAAAACGAACGGGTCCACACATATCTGCTGAAAGGACAAAGAGGGGTGAGGGGGCATTTTCTATTTCCTCTTGGTTGGCCTGATCTAACAGCCTGGACTAGATCTAGGCGAATGGGCGAATGACTCAGGCTAGCTCTGGACTAACAGCCAGGACTAACTCTAGGCTGATGACCTAAACCTAGGTCATCAACTCTAGGCCAGCTCTAAACCAACCAGCCTGGACTGCCTCTAGACTAACAGCTTAGGCTAGTTGTAGACTAATAGCCCAAGCTAGCTCTAGACTAATAAGCCTGGGCTAGCGCTGGACCAACCAATCCAGGCTAGTTCTGGACTAACTGGCCTGCCTACCTCTAGGCTAAATGATGAGCCTCCACAATCACCTGCTCTGACTCTGCCCTGAAGCCAGGTCCTGGGCTGCAGCCATTGGCCCAGGTAGAGAGTCCAGCTCCCCAAGGATTACCTTGCATTGGGAGAGGGTTGAAACACCAGGGGACTCCAGGAACAGTGGAGTCGAAGCAGCATCCAGAGTTGAAGCACTGGTCGCTGGTGATCCCTGGGAAGCCGCAGTTCTTCCTGTTGTGGGGGTTCATCCGAGAGCACTGGCAGGGGGCTGTGGGAAGACCCTCGTCAACCCAGTCCAGGGCACTGGAGGCACCCCACTTGCCTGCTCTCACAGGGAACGGGGAATGCCTGCATCATCCTGCTGCTACTTGGAGAAATGCAAAGTCCATCTTGCCCACATCTGAGCTATGCACGCCTTTCTTAGGAACTGGCAGGCTTTGGTAAGAGCGTGTTATTTGAAACAAAAACAAAATATATTCTATAAAGAGGGAGAACAGATGGACCCAGGCAAAGGTCAAGGTGAAAAAGCCTCTAAAGATCTGGGGACAGGCAAGTGCCCTCCAACCCTACCCGGGACCTCAGCCTCAGTCCTCAACTCTCCAACTAGCGCCTGTCAGGCTCCCATCCCAAAGAGCAGGGCCTCCTGTGTGAATGACACATGCTGTAACTCCAAGCTTAGGAAGCCCTTTGAGTTACTTCCCTGTCTTTTTTGCTGTAAGGAAAACAAACCAGAAAGTACACACAGAGACCCACAGGGGAACAAGACCTTCAGGAAGCAAGGACAGACTGGCACTCCTGCATCTGGGGATGCCAGCTGCGCCTGGCCTGC